GTTGCGCTGCCCCATCCCTGGAACCATCCCAGGGTAGGTTGGATGGAGCTCTGAGACCCTGCTCTAGTTGGGGATGTCCCTGCTCCCTGCAGGGGGTTGGACTGGATGACCTTGAAAGGTCCCTTCCCACCCAACCCAGGCCATGATTTATGTACAGGAGGGAGGTTTGGGATCCCCTCAGATCTTGGGTGGTGACAACAGGGTGAGCAGTGCTGGAGGGCAGAACCTCCTTTGCTGGAGAAGCCAACCAAGACTGATCCTGGTCCTCTCCATCCTGCCCAGGGAGAGGCAGGGACCCGCGGAGCTCCGGGCGTCAGAGGGAGCCCCGGGGAGCAGGGGCAGGAGGGGCCAGAGGGGCCAGCAGGGAGGCCAGGGGAGCCCGGGAAGGAGGTAGGTGTGCTGGGTGTCACCCCTGCTGTCCTCTGCCAGGCGTGGGGACGGGTTGGAAGGCTCTGCCCCCCCATGCACTGCCCCCAGATGACTCCCCGTGCCGTGGCCTTGCTGCTGCTCCTTCCCTCACAGGAGGAAGGGGCTGATGCTCTGGTGTCCCCTTCTGTCCCCACTCAGCGTGGGGCTGGAGTGGGTCAGAGCTGGAGGAGACCTCCTGGTGCAGGGGGAAGCTGTGGGGCCACTTCTTACCCAGCAGCAGAATCCTGGCTGGAGGAGGGTGGGGAAAGCCCATGGGAGTCAGAGACACCCCCCCAGGAGATGGGGCTGGGGAGCAGCTGCTGCTTCTGATGCTGATCTCTCCCCTTTGGGCAGGGTGACCCTGGGGATGCTGGAGAGATGGGTGAGCCAGGACCACGGGGACAGAAGGTGAGGAGAGAACTCTGCCCCTCCTTGCAACACCCAGGGAACACCCAGTGCCTGCTCAGCCCCCACTGAGCCCTGGTGGGGGCAGAAGCAGGACAGGGCTGTCCCCATGGCTGAGGAACACTGGAGGTGCAGGGCTCAAATTGGGCATCAGCACCTCCTCTGAGCACCCTGGGGTGAACTTCATCTCCATGTGGTTGTTCAGCCTGGGGAGGAGAAGGCTCCAGGGAGACCTTCTGGTGGCCTTTCAGGGCTTAAAGGGGCCTGTCAGAAAGCTGGGGAGAGAATTTTTAGCAGGACTTGTTAGAACAGGACTAAGGGGGGTGGTTTGAAACTCAAAGAGGGAGATTTAGACTAGAGAGAAGAAAGAAAACTTGACACTGAGGGTGGTGAGCCCCTGGCCCAGGCTGCCCAGAGAGGTGGTCACTGCCCCATCCCTGGAACCATCCCAGGGGAGGTTGGCCAGGGCTCTGAGCACCCTGCTCTAGCTGGGGATGTCCCTGTCCCTGCAGGGGGGTTGGACTGGATGACCTTGAAAGGTCCCTTCCCACCCAAACCACTCCATGATTCCATGCAGAAACTCGTTTAATTGCTATTTGTTTTTCTTCCTGGTGGTGACACCTCTGTCCCTGTCCCTGGGCAGGGTGACACAGGCCCCCAGGGCCTTCCTGGAGCACCTGGCCCTGGAGCTGCTACTGGGGAAATTGGAGAAAAAGGCCATAAAGGAGAGAAGGGCCAAGAAGGTTTGCTGGCAAGTACTGAGAGGCTTCCTCAGCCCACACAACCCCCAGGACCCCCACGGGCTGCTGGTTGGGTGCTGGGTGCCCAGGAGGGAGGTTCACACCCCACAGGAGACCTTGGGCTCCAGGAACCATGGAAAATTCCAAGAATTAACAAACATCTCTAATTAAGGAGTTTCATGTCTCATGGGCACGACTCCAAAGTTGGGATTTGTTGCCCCAAAAGCACAAGGAACTTGTTGGACTCCAAAAGGAGCCTCCTGCTCCCCCCGAGCCGGGCTGGTCCCTGCTGAGCACGTCTTCCTCTCTGTCCCAGGGCCAGGTGGGTGTCCCTGGAGCTGCAGGACCTACTGGAGCCCGAGGGTGGTTTGTAAGTCAGATGATGTCCCCACCTCCCACTGCTGATCACAGACCTGGCTGGGGGGAGCTGTATGGGTGACTGGGAGCACTGGGCACAGCTGAAGCAACGGGGCTCCTCTCCTTGTGCCCTGAACAGGGTGGGACAGGTCTCCGAGGTCCTCCTGGGCTCGATGGTCCCGAGGGAGTTAAGGTACAGCAGGGTGATGGCTCCAACCCTTCCCTGCTGGGTGAAATGCCTTGGTCTGGTCTTTTCCCAAGCTCAGCTCTCTGCCTCTGCCTGATGGGGGATGTGGAGGAGAGGCTGAGTCAGACTTGGGCAGGCTGTTGATCTCAGCGACCTGCCATGGGTCATTCCCTGCCCTGTTGACTGAGATCCAAAGTCAACAAGGCAAGGAAGGGGTTTTCCAGGGTCAGAGGCTGTTCCCCTTTCTTCCCCAGGGAGATCCGGGGCTGCCAGGCATGGATGGACCCGCTGGGGCTGCAGGATTGGAGGTACTGCTTTCTGGGATCTTGTAGAGCTGGGAGCTGCCAAAGCTGCTTCCCCTTATCCAATACAAGCTGAAGCCAAAGGATTTATTGCCCCTTAACTGCCCAGACCAGGGGGCTGTGGGGCAAAGAGGGGTTTTTAACACCTCACCTCCTGGCACTGACCCAGAAATCAGCCTGGCACCCAGGGAGGCCTCATGGCAGAGCTCTTCCTGCTCACCTTCACTCCCATGGACAGCTCAGGTGCTGCCTGGCACTTGCCTTGGCTGGGTGAACGTGCCACAGGGGAGAGGATGCTTAAAATAGCTGCTGAGGGGCTGGGCACCAAGCCTGTGGTGACGATGGGCTCATTCCAAATCCCCACCACCACCACAGGGACTGGCTGGAGAGGACGGAGCCAAGGGAGAAGGTGGCAAGCCCGGCCCGGTGGTGAGTACCAGCCCTGCCTCTGCCAAACTTCCTTGGGAAAGAGCTTTGGTGGCATCTTGTGATGGAGCAGCAGAGCCTGGGGCTGGGGCTGTGTCTCACGTGGGGGGTGGCCACAAAGCAAGCTCTGCTAGCCCAAGCACCGGGCCACGTGTCCCTGTGGTGGCTTTGGAACTGAGTCATCACCTCCTTGGCTTCCCCACAGCCAAAGCTCCATCCAGGTGGTTTATTGCAGCCATGAGAAGTCCCAGGGTTGGGTTTTCTCCCACCCTTAGTTTATTTTTAAGGAGAAATGGAGCCAGGCACGTCCGTCTGCGGGGGTTCTTCTCCTGGTGTGTTTTCCAGGACCCACCCCCTGCCCTGGGCACTCGTGCTGCCCCGAGATGGGTTTGTGGGGTCGTGGTCCTGACCCACGGTGAGCCCCAGGGCTGAGCCCTGCCCTCGGCTGCGGGATGGAGCCCGCTGGCATCCTGGTTTCCCCACATCGTGGTGCCAGGATGGGGCTCGGGGGGTCTTTGCTGGGGAGGTGGGGTGCAATGGGCTAGGGGCAAAGTGAGATTTGTTGCTCCATGGAGTCGAAGCCCCTCGAGGGTTGGGTTGTGTTGGGGTGTAATTGGTGCCATGCCTGTGTGCACCCCAGGGTGCAGCAGGTGCCCGGGGACCAGCGGGTGCCCTCGGGCCCCAGGGCTACACCGGGCACGGAGGATCCAGAGGAGCTGCTGGTGCCAAGGGAGAGCCAGGCCGGCAGGTAACTCCTCTCTCTGCCATGGGGACACCCCCACAGGGTGGCTCTCCTTGGAGGTCATGGGGGGGACAACCCCTGTCCAGACCCCAGGGAAGGGGACACCCCCACAGGGTGGCTCTCCTTGGAGGTCATGGGGGGGACAACCCCTGTCCAGACCCCAGGGAAGGGGACACCCCCACAGGGTGGCTCTCCTTGGAGGTCATGGGGGGGACAACCCCTGTCCAGACCCCAGGGAAGGGGACACCCCCACAGGGTGGCTCTCCTTGGAGGTCATGGGGGGGACAACCCCTGTCCAGACCCCAGGGCAAGGCAGCTGGCTCTGTACTCACCCTCCTGCCTTCTACTGAGTGACCCAGAGCTGATGCCAGCCTCGTGTTTTGTCCCCAAACCAACTCAGGGTCTCCTGGGGCCACCCGGAGAGGCGGGAGTCACGGGGCTGAGCGGCACCGAGGTGAGTGGGCTGCCCCACTTCTCTGCCTCTGGCTTTTCTCACTGCCCAGGCCTGTGCCACCTTGCCCACCCTGCCCCAGGCTTTGGGTGAACCATCCTAGAGCTTAGGTTTTGGCATTGGGTTACATTTGTTGTCCTCCCTAGGGCCTGGTGGGTGCGAAAGGGGAACCGGGCAGGCTGGGCCAGCCGGGACAAACGGTGAGGAGTGGGGTGGAGCTGGGCTGGTTCTGCCTGGCACGGGCAGCAGGGTGCTGGGAGGGGCCACACGGGCACCTGGCAAAACTCCCAGCTGGAGACTTCAGCTGAGAGCATCCTCCTGTGCACGCTGTGGGGAGGGGGCCAGGAGGGGCCATCCCAACGCTGCGTCCTCGTTGAGAGGCTGGAGCGGGGCCAG